AAGCCATTGAGTTGCTAGGTCGGTCTGAGCCGTCCGGCGGTGTAAGTCAATGAATCAATTTGAGTCGATTGAAGGTATAAACCGATGAATCAGTCTGAGCCGACCGAAGGTGTATGCTGATGAATCAGTCTGAGCCAATAGAATATGTGAGTTTTATGAGTCGGTTTGAGCCGATCGGAGGTGCATGTCGATGAATCGGTCTGAGCTGATTGAAGGTGTAAGTTCAACGGACAGATTTAATTGGTGAATATGTTGGTCATACTGGTTATAAGACTAGGGAGATGGTACACCACTTTGCTTTCTATATCATATGTTCGACATAGCCTGAAGTTTATTAATTAAAAAAATGAATATAGTTTGATGGACTTGTATCCTCTCTTTACCTTTTTATATTTCAAAATGCGTAATATCTTGCAAACATATATTAGATTTTATGGTTTATTTTTACCAAAAAAAAAAAATTTTAATTTCATGCACAGATCAGAGAAGCCGAGGGAGGTATTCTTTTTGTGGATGAAGCATATCGACTAATGCCGGAGGACGCATGTCCTAGTGACTTTGGGTTAGAAGCCTTAGAAGAGATCATGTCTTGTATGGACAATGGAAAAGTTTTAGTCATATTTGTTGGCTACAACGAAGCAATGCAACGTGTAATATCTTCTAATGAAGGTTTTAGCAGAAGGGTTACTAACATTTTTAAGTTTGAAGATCTGAGTTGTGAAGAATTAGCTAATGTTCTCCATGTCAATATGAAAAATCAAGCGGAAGATAGCTTGTTACATGGGTTTAAATTACATTCTTCTTATAGTGTAGATGTCATTGCAGAGCTAATAGAGAAAGTAACAACGGAAAAGCAGCGTATGAAAATGAATAGAGGTTTAGTGGATATAATGTTAAATAATGCTAAGGGGAATCTTGATCTTAGGCTTAGTGACGATTGTGCAGACAGAGATGAATTGCTTACGATCAAATTAGAGGATTTTGAAGCAGCTTTAAGAATTTTACCCCAATAGATGTTTGAATGTTACTGTGCTTTAGTGTATTTTCCCTGTGTATCAGTCGAACTTTCAATTTGTATTTGCCATATTTTCATTGAGTAATGCTACAGCCACCGAAGGTTGCGCACCGAATCTGTGTATGGCAAAATCCTAACCGTTTATTCATTATCAGTTAATATTAATCAACGGTCAAGATTTTACCACGTCATTCGGTGCATAGATTTGGTGCGCAACCTTCAGTGACTCTATTATTTTCGATTTTCATTACTCTTTCTTTATCATTTCTATCTTTATTACTTAGCATTGTTTTAATTTTTTGTTTTTGAAACACTGCTACTTTGTTTATTCTGGGCATTACCTTAAAAAAAATATTTAATAGTAATTTTAACGTGGGAGCAAACCATTTACATTATTATATAGGTGCATGTTCATGAATGCGTTAAAAAATGAAAAATAAAATAAAATAAAACAAATGTGAACGGTTCAATTATTTGTTTGTTGGGGATGCAATTATGAGTCTGGTCAAAAAAGAAAAAAGGCAAGGCATCTTTTAGGAAAAGAGATAAAGTTGAAATGCTTACAGATTGTCAGATTGATGCAAATACTGTATTATATGCTGTCTTGGTTTAGCTCTTTATGTTTTTGCCAATGTGAACTGACCGTCATTTGTGGAAAGTTAATGTTGTGGAAAGCGAAAGCTAATGGCGTCTTTGTCTTCTTCCGCTATTGCTCCACTAAAGTATCCACTTTACGAAGCCTTGTGTCGGTTTGAGACTTTCATTGATGAAAATGAACTTATTAGAAGATATCAAATTTCTACATCTCTTTTGGCTGCATTCCTGCCTACAGTTTTACACTAGTAAAAGAAAAAAAAAAAAAAAATCAGTTCTTATGCAAGAAATTTGATTGAAATTTTTTCTTATAGGGTCAAAATTACCCACCAGGAATGGAGATTTGGATTTTTAAGAAATAGGACTACATCTAAGAATTTTCAATTTGTTGAGAGGCAATGTAGAATGTGTTGAAATCTAACGCCAAAACACATAAAATAAATGAAACAGAAAAGTAAAAAAGACAATTAATTTATCTTAATCGTTCCCAATATCGGAACTACATCCGATATTTAAGATAGAAAAGTTTTTATTAAGTTTCAAAAATCTGCAGCAATACAATAGTAATAACGACAATTCACTCTTTCTCTCCTCGCTCTCAATATTCTTCTCACATTAGGTTTTTTCACTATTACAATACACATGTAATAGTAAACCTAATCACATTTGAGCTAAATACTTCCAAGCCCAAATATTTACCCTTGAGTGCATCAGCATCCGTAGATAATCCATTAACCTTGTGCAAAGTATGAACCACATCCACTAGAATGGTATGTTACGAATTTCACAAAAATGGTTAAATTTTCTTGAGCAGACATGGGGAGGTACTATTTTAATTTGAAAACTTTTGGGTGTACGGGGAGGGTAAATTATTTGACCATTATCTATTACCTCACTATTATGTGTTACAAATGGTAACCCTCATTAAGGAATTTCTTGTGTGTGAATTAATGAATCTGTGTAACACAATTACACCAAATGTGAATGGCTCATTAGTTGCTTGTTAGGGATGCAATTGTAAGTCCGGTCAAAAAAGAAAGAAAGCCAAGGCACCTGCTAGGAAAGAAGACAAATTTAAAATGCAGAGAACTTGATGCAAAGACTCAATTATATGATGTCTTAGTCAATGGATTCTTGCTCTTCTACCACTGTAGTGCTCAACCAAAGTATGATCTTTTTCTTAGTTTCAGAGGTGAGAACACGTTTCACAATTTAGGAGAACTAAGTAGCTAGTTTGTTTTTTAGTTTTGTCTTTTGGTAATTCGAAAATTCCTCGAACATGTTTTGCTAAGCCAAATTTAAAATTTGTGACCTCCATTGAATTCTACAATTTTTAAAAACAAAAAATAATGGTCTCTAACCATATGGTTGTCGATGTTTGAAAAATAAGAAACAATACCCTTTAATTAATGGTCCTTTTTTGTTTGAGTGTTTTTGTGCTTTAGTAACCTTTGGCTTGAGTACCTGTCGAACTTTCTATTTGTATCTGGGATGATGAAATCTCTACTCTTTCTTTGTCATTCCTATCTTAATTACCTAGCACTGTTTTAAAGTTTTTTATTTTTTTTTTTTATTTTTTTTTTTTTTTTGGAACACTGCTTTTATTTGGCATTTAATCCTTCGAGGCTGGCTTTTCTTTATCGTGTTTGCTTTCTTGTTGTATCACTATTAATCTTTGTATCAATTGGGCTGATCTCAAATCTCTACAAACATTTAGTGCATTTCGGGTGAAACTATGAATTTATTTTCACGAGGGTTGTCTAAGTAATTTTTCATCTATTTCTAAAAGGGTTATTTTTGTCATTTCAATATAAATTTAAATGTCAAATAACATTTTTATTAAGTCAAAGGATTAAAACAGTAGTATTTGGAAACTAGAAAGATCATATTGTAGTATTTGAGACTATTATCCTTAAATGGTAGTAAAAAATTAACTCTAGGGGAACACCAACATAAATCAGCAAAATTAGTAAGCCATTGAGATTGTTGTCTCTTGTTTACTAGTTCTATTGATGCAGTGGCAATTGCCATAGTTTTAGTATAGGCAAGAGTTGCAAGAGAAAAGAGACTGCCTGAGTATGCCTAAGAAGAGAAAGAGAGAACAATAATATTTTCTGTATTCAATTGTATATTGTATGTTTGTACAATGTTCAATTTATACACATTTGTAACAGTAAAGAAAGGAAATTCAATCATGTCATGAAGGCCTAATCACACAAATTATGCTAACGGAATATTTGACATTCAAGAGAAAATATCAATCACTCCAATCACTCTATGATTATCTCCATCAATCTCAATCAATCCATGGTTATGGTCATCAGCAATGACAGAGTTCATATCTTTTGATTTGGGGAATTGACAGAAGCAAACTGATTACTATTAGAATCTTTTTTTTTTTTTTTTTTTTAAAAGAACCCAATATGATTTAAAAAGCAATTTACCTGTTAGAGCTTATCCTAATCTACAAATACATAATATTAGGCAGGGAGGCATGCATCGATCTTCGGATAAAAGAGATGAAAATAATAAAGAACAAGGCAAGGCATCTTCCGAGAAAACAAGATGAAAGTGAAAATAAAGTACAATAATTGTCAATTGTCACAGGGGTGGTCTTGATCACCTGCACCGAAAGAGAGAACAAAAAAGTGAAAGCACTTAAATTTTTAACTATTCTTAAGCGATAATGTAATCAACAAACAAAAATTAAAAAATGAAAAAGCAAACAAAACGTCATTAAGAGTTAGTTTAATCAGTTTTTCCCTAATTTTAGAAATAATCAGCTTTAAAAATATTTTGTGTTGGAGATCCCATATCGACTAGACAAACTTAAGCCAATGAGTTTATAAGAGTGGATAATTCTCCCACTCAATAAGACCTTTTGGATGAGGAATTAGATCCAACTCCAACAAGTGGTATCAGAGCCAATCTCATTTGAGTAGCGGTAGGTTGCTAAACTACCTTCATTCATAGGCAAGTGGACCATATAGGCTTGACTGTGAAGGGGAGTGTTGGAGATCCCATATCGACTAGGCACGCTCAAACTAATAGGTTTATAAAAATAGGTAATCCTCCCACTCAATAAAGCATTTTGGGTGAGGAGTTAGACCCAACTCCAACAAGGGAATGTGTTTAATAAATGACTTCTAATTGTGTAATCGGTAAATTAAATATTTAAAAATATTTTTATAATTCTAATTTATATTTTATACGTAATTAATAAATATTAAAATAATTTATGTGCGGGGCCTTGATGTAGCTTCGCCCCTGCTTTGGTTCATGAACCTTTTGAGAAAGTTTTGATTAATTAATCAACTTTATAAAATAAAATTAAGTTAGTATAACCTTAAGAAAATTTGCGCAGGGCATGCGTCTTCCTGGAAAAAAGATGAAAAAAATAAAATAGAAAAAGGCACAGCAATCAATCAAAGACATAGAGATAGTGGAATATAAACTCCTTTACTCTCTTATGTAATGTTTTAGTTTAGTCCTCTACGTTTTGTTAATGCGCAGTGCCTCTCATCACTGGAACTTAATGGCTTCTTCTTCTTCTTCTTCTTCCACTACTCCTAAACTAAAGTACAAAGTTTTTCTTAGTTTCCGAGGTGAGGAGACCCGGGAAAACTTTACAAGCCATCTGTATGGAGCCTTCAACCGGGAAAACATTAATACTTTCATTGATGATAAACTTAACAGAGGAGAAGAAATTTCTCCAGCTCTTTTGAGTGCAATTGAACAGTCAAAGATCTCGGTTATCATTTTCTCTAAAGGGTACGGCTCTTCAAGATGGTGTCTCAAAGAACTTGAAAAGATTATTGAATGCAAGAAAAAGTATGGTCAGATTGTAATTCCGGTCTTTTATCACGTAGATCCATCAGAAGTAAGGAAACAAACTGGGGATTTTGGGAAAGCATTTTCTCAGCTTGAAGAGCGTTTTAAGGTTGATGATCCAGAGATGTTGCAGAGATGGAAGAGTGCTTTGACGGACACAGGCAACATATCTGGCTTTGATTCAAATAACACTAGGTAATTAGTTTATTATTAATTATGTCTTTTATGTAGTAATTTACTTTCGGCTATTTTTTTTTTTTTTTTTAATCTTTTCAAATTTACTATGTTTTAATTATTATTATTTTTATAGTGATAAAAATTATTTACTTTAATATTTATTAATACCTTTTTTTATCAATACAATTACAACTTCCCGACTAGACGATAAAATGAGAAAACCTATAAAAGTATAATATGATTTATTAAATTATAAAGAACTTGTGCTATATCGAAACCTTAATTCATCAAGTTTGTATCACATGTGTTTAGTTATATATAATCTACAATTTCGTTTAGTGTATTTTTTGCTTAATTATTGGATGGGATTATTAAATCTGTATATGATGTACATGTGTCTTGTTTATAATCTAAAATCTCATTTAGCTTGTTTTTAGCCTTAATTTATGAAGGCATTAGAGTAGTTTAATACTCTATTCCATAAAATTCTCATATCCTAGGATGGAAAACTACTGTACTCTAATCTTTGACCGGTTCTAGGAAATAAAATTATATTATCTTTGTTTCTTTTCATTTATCTAATTTTATTATTATTTTATTTATTTATATTTTACTGTTTAGGAACGAGTCACAACTTGTACAGGATATTGTCAACAATATTTTGAAGCTATTGGATGAGGAGTACTCGGTAATTGACAAGAAGAACCTAGTTGGACTAGATTCAACAGTCAAGCAGATTGAAAATTTATTATGTACCGTCGGTGTTTGCAAACTAGGAATTTGGGGCATTGGGGGTATAGGTAAAACAACTCTTGCTGATGCTGTATTCAGAAAAATCTCTAAACAGTTTGAAGCTGCTTACTTCATTCGAAATATTAGAGAAGAATCGGAGAAAAGCGGGGGACTAACTGACTTGCGCCAAAGACTTAGCTCTAGAGTTTTAGGGGATAAACATTCCAATAGTGGGTTCACCTTGGAAAGAAAAAGGCTTGGTCGTGTTCTTATTGTGTTTGATGATGTAACAAAATTAGAACAAATGGAATGTTTGATGGACGAATTTGTCTGCTCGGACTCTGAAAGTCGAATAATCATAACGGCAAGGGATGAACGAGTACTAAAAGAATGTGATCACATACATGAGATGAAAGGATTATTTGGTGATAACGCTTTTCAGCTCTTTAACCGATATGCTTTTCGAGGAAACAGTCCAACAGAAGATTATATTGAGCTATCATCCAGGGCAATAGCATATGCTAAAGGTGTTCCTCTTGCTCTTAAAGTTTTAGGTTCCTCTCTATTTGAGAGGACAAAAGAAGATTGGAAAATTATTCTGGAAGATTTGAAAAGAATTCCTCATATGGATATCCATAATGTATTAAAAGTAAGTTATGATGGGCTAGATAATAAACTAAAGCAAGTATTTTTAGATATTGCTTGTTTCTTTAAAGGGTGTGAAAGAGAGCTTATAGAAGAAGTCTTGGATGCCCGTAGCATTTATATAGATGTTCTTATTGAAAGGTCTCTCATAACTACCTCATCCAACATCGTAACAACCTCAATCAACATCAGAACTACATCGTCGAACATCATGACAACTTCACCCAACATCATAACAACCTCATCCAACATCATAACAATGCATGATTTACTTCAAGAAATGGGTAGAGAAATTGTTCGTGAAGAATCAGCTGATAATCCTGCTGAACGTAGTAGGCTATGGGATTATGAGGAAATCTGCTCAGTATTGAAAAAAAATAAGGTGAGAGCCAAAAACACTAATTTTTTTTTTTTTTTTCTACTTTATATATGAGAAACAATAAAATATTAGCTTGCAGAATACTCCTTCCATTATCACTGGGAATCAGCTTAACTGGTAAAGTAATTGGATGGGAATATGAGATCTCTTATATTTACATATTTTGAAAAAAAAGTTGAAAAAATAATGTTTAATATGAGAATTAAGTACTTGACACATTATGTAATTGAGAAATTTCAAACTAATTTATCGTCGATCTGTTCTTGATTTTATAGGCGAAAGGAGCTATTCGAAGCATAAGCTTGGATATGTCTAAAGCAAAAGAGATACGTTTACAACCTAAAGCTTTCAACAAGATGCATAACCTAATGTTCTTGGAAGCCTACGGCTTCACCCGTGGGAACAAGGTACAGGGTTTTGAAGAGCTTCAATCTGATTTCTCTGAGCTAAGGTATCTTTGTTGGTATAATTATTCTGCCGAATCATTGCCCCGAGATTTTGATCCAGAGAACCTTGTTGCACTCTACATGATGATAGCAAAGTTAAACGACTTTGGACTGGTAAAAAGGTATCTATTTGTTAACTTTTATATTACCATTTTGTGCTTTAAATTGTAAATATTTATAAGTTATTTCTATTTTTTTTTTTCAATTTATTCAACTTGTTATTTTCTTACAGAAACTTAATAAATTGAAGCATATTGACCTCAGTCACTCCAACCATCTACTCCAAATACCAAATCTCTCATTAATTCCAAATCTCAAAAGCTTGATTCTACAAGGTTGTACAAATTTGTATGAGGATTTCTCATCTATCCGTGATCTCAATAAGCTTGTCCTCTTGAATCTACGAGAATGTAAAAGATTTGAAAGTCTTGCAATCAACCCTGGTTGTAAATCTCTTCGAACACTTATTCTCTCCAAGTGTTCAGATCTCGAAACAGTTCCATATATCCCCCATTCGGTAGAAGAGTTATATTTAGATGGAACTGCAATAAAAGAATTGTCGTCATTAAAGCATCTTTCCAGCTTAAAAATATTGAGTCTTGAAAATTGTTCAAAGCTGGAGAGTCTCCCAGAGAGCATTGGTGAATCAGAAAATCTTCGAATAGTTATTCTCTCCAATTGTCCAATGATCAAAACAGTTCCATGCATCCCTAGTAGTGTAGAAGAATTATATTTAGATGGAACTGCAATTGAAGAATTGCCGCCATTAGAGCATCTGTCTGCACTGTTAAAATTGAGTCTTAAAAATTGTTTAAGACTAGAGAGTCTTCCAGAGAGTATTTGTGAGATTAAATCTCTTCGATGTCTTTATCTTTCGGGTTCTTCAAAACTGTCAAGTTTGCCTAGTGGCCTGAAAAATTTAGAAGCACTGGAGGAACTTGAAGTGGAGGGAATTGGTATAACAGATATACCGTCGTTGACTTTAGCATGTTTGAACAACCTTAAGAAATTATCTTTTGTGAGATGTGGGATTCAGAAGCCACCGGTTTCCCTACTGTTACAGTTAGAGGACTGCCACAAACTGGAGCAGCTAAATCTGAAAGACTGTTGTATTGAAGTGTTACCCAAAAATCTTGCCGGATTACACTCACTGGAATTTTTATATCTTGGCGGAAACAACTTTGAGAGTATGCCAGAGAGTATCAAAGATCTCCCGAAGCTGTATGAGCTTGATTTAAGCAATTGCCAGAGGCTGAAATCCTTACCGCAACTTCCAGATAAGCTACTACGTATAGAAGCAAAGGGTTGCACATCACTGGAAGCAATATCAGGTTTACCAACTCAATGCCTAAGTATGCGGACTCACAACGAGGAAATTAGCTTCATCAATTGTTGCAATCTGAAACTAGATTTGACAGATGCTCTGCCGAATATTGAGAGAAATGCAGGTCTATGGTTTAGCTCTGGAGTAAGTCTCTCTCTCTCATATTATATAATATAAAAATATATTTATTTACTTTTTTTAAATAATTTAAAATTAAGAAGGTTAGGAGTTGATGATTTTCTTGGCACAGGAAAACACAACATCGCTGTCAAGGGTTAACCTGCCAAAGGCATATAGCCTACCAAAGGCATATAGCCTGCCAAAGGCTTCTTTATGTTACCCTGGAAGCGACATTCCAGATTGGTTTAACTTTAAAAGTCAGAATGGTTATATAGAGCTTCCATCAGATTGGCTCAATGATGACTTAATTGGTTTCGCTTTGTGCGCTGTTGCATCGTTTCGAGACAATGAAGAGGCTGAACCTCTGCAAGTTCGCTGTTTTCTGGTTGTTGGCGAGACGATCGTTTCCTCTGGCTGTTTGTTTAATGATTATGGACATAAGGTTATTGAATCAGATCATGTGTTCTTAGGATATGATTATGATATCATGGCCTTGGAATTGCTTACTCTCAGCTCGAATAGCAGGGGCTACATGGAGTTCTATGTTGGGCATGGAAGTAATAATTGCGGAAGAAAAACCAAGTTGAAAAATTGTGGAGTCAGATTGTTGTACGCCAAAGACAATTATACGAGAACAGATGGAGGAGTGGAAAGAGACCAGAGATTTCCATATATAAATCGTTGCTTGAGGTGCCATCTCTATTGCTGCGTGGAACATGATGAAATGGACGAAAAAAAACCATATGAAATTTTAGATAGCTGGTCCCCGTATTCAGAAATATACAAGCCACCAATAAGAAGGGATTAGTAAGTTCGATTAAATCACGAAATTACACGGTTTGGTTTCTAATATTTGATTTCTAGGTGAAGCATAAGTAATCTTTTTATTTCAAAAGAAAAAACAAGGTTTATACAATGATCTTGCATTATTTATTCACATGTAGAAATAACATATGGCTATGTTATAATTTTTTTTATTGATGTAAATATTCACTGTATTTTACAGTTCAAATTATATCGGGTGCAAAGTGGTTGCACACCATCTGCATCGGAAGCGCATGGACTGGGCTAGACCGGTGTGAAACTTGGAGGTTGGAATCTTCTTAAGGAAGAGGTGATGTAACTCCAAACAGATGAGCTTATTATACAAGGTTATTGGAACAATTTGAATGATTCTCTTTTACTTTCCCATGTCCCTCCGGCTGTAAAATGATGGCTGATGCTTGTGCAAGTTCAGCACGGCAGGTTTCTTCTTGCTTTGGTGGGAAACCCTCCACAGGGAAATCAAGGCTTTTTACTCCGTTTCTGCGCATAAACGGAGGAATTTTTTTTAAAACATATATTCATGCCCTATGCTCTGCCGTTCTCCATTCTGTTCAAGAATTGTGAAGTTATATATATGCTTTTTTTTTCCTTATGTTATTCGTTGTCTTTTCAGACTGGCTTGATCTCGTTTGCACATGCTAACGATTTAGCTGGCAACTTGGCGCATGAACATCTCAATGTTTTCTGGATTTTCTTCCCTGGAATCGAATTATGTTAGCGGACTACTGTGAGTGGACACATGCTGTTTTGATGTTTCTGGTGCTTCGTTTTCTGGACTGTGAAAGGATGCTGATTGCACTTTAATAGTGTTGTAAGCCGACATTATGTCAATGTTCTGTTTTGTTTCCTGATGTTTCTGCCTTCTGAGGCTGCTTTAATCTTTTACTTGCATTATCAGATTTGTTTCCAAATAGTTGGACTTCTTATCACAAATATTTCCAGATTTCTACATAATCTTTTACTACTGGATCGTTTTTCTGTCGCACTTCAACAGAGTTACTATCTGCTTTTGCTGAAGTTTGGTTTTCTGGCAGTGAGATGATGTTGATTACTCTTTTCACTGTTGTAAACCGCTATTACTGGTTCATTCTGGTCTTCTTATGAGATGTTGTGTTTGGTTATTCAAGGATTTGAACAGCTGGTATAAGCAAAGGACATATTATTATTAGTCTCTATAGTAGTCATATCACGCCATCATTTCAATATGATGACGTGATGTCAATTGGTGCTTCAGCCAAACATCTCCAAATGTCGTTAGAAGAAGAATGATTTATTTTCAGTGCCGCAAGAAAACCTATAGAATGAAAATAGATCCACGATTTTGGGTTTTCCACTCATATACATATTCCTGAGGAGCTTACTTCATATAATTCTGGAGAGGTGTAGAAAGAACATGTGTGCATGCTGGCACATACACACTAATTCAAAGTCTTAGTATGACTGTAATGAGCTTACTCAGAAACTGTCTAGGACATTTATTTACATGATATAAAAATATGGTTAAATAAACCAGATCACACCAAATTTGCAGTTCAATTTAACGTAAAGTCAAACACAGTCAATTGAGAAAAAAAGAGGGAAAAAAAAAATATTCTCTGAGAAGTTTTTAGTTCAAGAGTAATTACTATCATGTCTCTCTTGTAGAGCTCTCAAGCGTCCAATCAGGTGAGAACCAACGAAGGCACAATGTGCTTGACGCTTCTCTTTATCAATAAGCCTAAGCACCGCAAGCCCCCCAGCAGAACATACTGGGTTTCCACCAAAAGTGTTGAACTGAATCTTCTGAGCCATTACACTAGCTATCTCTGGTGTTGTCACTACAGCTTCAAATGGCAAACCATTGCCAATTCCCTGGAAAATGATATTATCTTAATGTAAATGAAATATTTGAATGAGAACCATAAGAGGAAAAAAAAAAAACCTAAATTGGTGATAATATTGAAAAAGGCTAATTGTTCATGCATAGGGCAACATTAAGAACTCAAAGGATTATCATCAAAACCTTTGCCATGGTAACTATGTCGGGAATGACCCCTTGTGTCTGAAAGCACCAGTAGTGGCTTCCAGTTCAACCAAATCGAGTTTGCACTTCATCAGCAATGCAGACACCACCAGCTTTGCGCACAATGTCATAAACATGTTTTAAGTATCCAGGGGCCAATTCCACTGCTCCACCAACTCCCTTAATTCAGTCAAAATTTAGAAAAAGGGAAGTGCAATTTTTAGAGACCAATTCAGGCTGTTGAAAGCACCAAGTTTATATATATCTTTGGCGAAAACTATCAATCAAAACCTGAACGGTTTCAGCTATAAAACCAGCAACCTTTCCTGAACTTCCAAAATCAATGTGATCTTGTACGTCTTTGGCATAAAGGGCTGCATTTGAGCCAAAAATTCTATGGTATGGATCTGGATTTACAACATGATGGATTTCACCCTGAAAAGTGGCAGATCAGATTAAGAATACAGGTTGAGTTTCACTCTTAAACATGTTATTTATTTTTTCTTTGCATTAAATAAACAAACAAAGAGAATAAACTAAGTATATATGATACAAATCAATTTACTCTTCACTAAAAATTTTCAGAAAACAAGACTGAAGAAATAAGCGGCCAATATTTGTAAAGTAAGCTGTAATTCACACCCCATGTTAACATTGTTGGTTATTCACTAAACCAGCTTACCCTTGTGAATAGTGTATGAGAGAAGAAAGAAATGCTATTAATCCCTAATGTTCCTGAGATTATGAGTTTCACACTATGTTGTCATTGCAAACAATTCCAGATATCAAAATTTATCAAACAAAAAACCATGTTAAATACATATCCTCCGAACATATAGAAGGTGGACAAACCTGTGGTATGGGGTACTTCCACGTGTTTAGGGCAGTCAGTCCAATTGTATTGGAGTTTCCACCATGATAAGCATTTCTTAGGGCAATCATTCCAAGATTACCACTGTAAAGTCTGGCCATCAATATTTGTAGTGACTAATTAGGCTCTCAACTATGCTAATCAAATCAATCAGTGAGCAAATCAAGCAATAGAATCAGAGATTAAGTAAAGCATGAAACTAAACAGAAAAAGAAGAAATAGACACAGGGGATTTATAGTGGTTCGGCTAAGAAAGCCTACATCCACTCTTCAAGGCACACTATAGGATATTTCATTAACCAAGAGAACCAAAGGTTACAAAGAGTAAACAATCAAAGAATAACAAGAAAGAACACACCCGTTTCAGCCCTCTCTCTACACCCTCTGTATTCGCACAAAATAGTCAGGAATTTATACACATCAAGACCCCATTGATCATCTTCCAGCTGTCCTCTAAGATCTGCAGTTTGTTAGAGCAGAGGAGCACTAGAATCTTCTGTCGTTAGGGCTGAGAAGGAACCAGAGAAGGCGTGAAAAGAGCTGCGCATTCTGCTGCAACAGAATGAAATTCGTGTGCCAGATAAGGCACTTAAGTCTGCTAGCTGAAACGCTGCCGTATTGGTTTAATTTGAAGCTGACTTCTTTGATTGATGCTGACTCCACCATGGCATACACAAGCCACATCATCATCACAACATTGCTAGTTCATTTGCTTCTGTCCCAGAATTGTCGAAATACACAACCTGCATTTCAAATCTCAAAGTAATTAAAGACATTTATATTGTCATCATAATGTTGCTATAAAGTGGCCATCTTAATGTGTCATGTTATAAAATGAAAACGTCATCCAAAAAATATCACCATATAACAGAAAGAATGACAACAAGTGCTACACTCGAGAACAAACCTTTAGATTTCCAGCATTTTTGATGCTAATGCCTCAGCAAAGTCAGCTATAGCATGGTGTAAGTATATAGTCGTTGCATGCTGGAGAAGATTGATTTGCTCTGTAATAGCATTCACGATATCAGGATGGCAATGCCCACAAGACACAGTAACTATTCCAGCAAAAGCATCGAGGTACCGCCTCCCGCTTTCGTAAAACAAGTATTGCATTTTCCTTTCAACAATATTGAGCTGTACACCAAAACAAAGAAATAATACCGGCTAATCACAAAAAGGAACAGCAAAAATAAAGAATACCCAATCATGCAATAAACTTGGCTTAGCATTTGCGTACAACTTCGCTTTACAAACCGAACATTACAAAAATTTAAACAAGTTGATAAAAATTCAGCACACTCTTGTCACATAGATATTCCATTTCTCTTCAACAATATTAGCAATAACTCAAAAACAATAACAACTAATTGGATTCTTTGATAAAAAGTGATAATCAAACTAGAAATTAAGCAATTATGCAACTCTCTTAACTTCATATCCAGTATGCTTATAAAATTAACTAAAATTTTATGAATCAAGTTCATAAAATTTTATGACTCAAGTTCATACAAAGGCCCAAAACAAAAGAATATATAATTCATAAACAACATAACAAGCCATGACACTAAAAAAATCCATTTGACAAAAGTAAAATACTCTTTGTCCTTCAAATGCACCAAAAAGAAAAAATAAAACTTTCAAATAGAAGCACTTAAGCTCCATAACAACTAGTAATCACAAACAACACACCTAAAAAGAGTTCAACTTTAAGATAAAGATCATATTTTAGTACAAAAACACTAAAAAATGATCTGTTAAAACAAACGCATTTCCCAAAAACACAAAAACTTACAGGCTTTTGATGTAATAGAACAGAGAAGGACCCAAAAAGCGCTTTCTTTTCTCAAGAACTTGTCAGCAGAAGGACCCAAGTATGGCTTAGGCTGATAGTCAAAAGGCGGTAACTGAGGCGGCAAGGAAGAAGAAGAATCATCATCACTAGGAACCGCAGAGAGCGAACTGCAGAGACTCCTCCTACAGTTCCCATAAAGCACCGGCTTCCTCTTCAAGATTGGCCTCTGCAAAAACGCCATTAAAACCCCACTCTCCTTCCAAACTTTCTTCTTTTCTAGAAACGAAAACAAGAAGTGAAATGTAAAGCAAAAGGGTCCAAGAATAAAAATAAATTTGGTGAATTGGCGCTTGTCAGTCATGAAGTTCATTGAACACTAACTTGGGAGGTGATTTGTTGTGGATTCATTTAACTAATTAATGAGGTTTGATTGTGATTATGGATACGTATGAGATATAATAAAAAATTAAAATTAGGGGAAACTAAATAGTACTAAATTAAAGAGAAGAAAAATGACGGTTCTTCTTCTGATGTCCAGCCAGATAGATTAGTTGCTTCTGTCAAAGCATTCCTCTACTTCTGCATTATCTTTCAATTGTTCTTCTATGATTTGAAGCTTCTTTAGCTCTTGTTGTTAAAGCTTTCTACAAGCTTAGCAAATCCATCCCCAAAAGTTCCGTCTGATTCCTCACATGTGATGGATCTATGTGATAAAACGGGTATACCACCTCAATTTGCGTTTTTTGAACTCCAATATCTTCACAAGTTCTTCGAGACACCATCTTGAAGAGGCATAACCTTCTGAAAAAATAATAACTGAAATCTTTAATTCTTCAATTGCATTCTCGAGAGAGGACGAAATGTCCTCTTCTCTGTTAAGTCATCACAATGAAAACATTTATACCAAAAGAGTTCAAAACTCCAGGTAAAATGCTTCGAATATGTGTTGCGGGTGGCGAACAGGTGTTGTATAAGCTCTAAAATCAAACGAAGCTGATTGTATCTGTTTATAACTCTCTAGCTGGAAGCTAATTTTATATTTTTTTTGGCTAACTATTTTGGCCAAATAATTATCATATTACTTATATTTAATTTTAAAATTTTATTATATAATTTATTTATTATTATATTTTTTTAATAAAATATACTTTAAATCACATTTTCTCAAACGCGTTAATTATTATCAATGATTTACAAGTATTTTAACCGAATGCATAACTGTTTAAATTTTAAATATTTACGAGTTCAAATTACGTTATAAATACTAACTGTTTAGAAGCTAATTTATATAACTCGAACAAACAAGCTCTAAGAAATACATATACTCTTTTCTGGGCAGATGTCATTTTAGAAAGAATCGCTTAACGATACGTAAGGTCGCTTAAGCGATCATAGTCTGGGCAGATGTCATTCTGCCTCAGAAAAGATCGCTTAAGCGACCATGTGTCTTTTAGGAAGAATCGCTTCAGCGATATAAATGGGTCGCTTAAGCGATTCAGTCTGGGCAGATGTCATTCTGCTCAGAAAAGATCGCTTAAGCGACCATGTGTCTCTTAGGAAGAATCGCTTCAGCGATATAAATGGGTCGCTTAAGCGATCATAGTCTGGGCAGATGTCATTCTGCCTCAGAAAAGATCGCTTAAGCAATTCGTTTAGTGCACTTGTTCCGTTATTATATTTATATTAAACATTAGTTCTTTTAACGTCAATATGAAACTTATAAGGGTTACGATTCATTCAGAGCACCTGTTCTGTTATTACATTTATATAAAAACTATAGTTCTTTTAACGTCAGTATGAAACCTATAGGTTTACGATTCGTTCAGAGCACCTGTTCCGTTATACACTTATATAAAAAATATAGTTCTTTCAACGTCAGTATGAAACCTATAGGGTTTACGATCGTCAGAGCACCTCTTCGTTATTACATTTATATAAAACATATAGTTCTTTACACGTCAGTATGAAACCTATAGGGTTTACGATTCGTCAGAGCACCTTTTTCGTTATTACATTATATAAAAACATATAGTTCTTTTAAACGTCAGTATGAAACTATAGGGTTTACGATTCGTTCAGAGCACCTGTTCGTTATTACATTATATAAAACATATAGTTCTTTTACACGTCAGTATGAAACCTATAGGGTTTACGATCGTTCAGAGCACCTGTTCCATATTACATTTATATAAAACATATAGTTCTTTACACGTCAGTTGAAACCTATAGGGTTTACGATTCGTTCAGAGCACCTGTTCCGTTATTACATTTATATAAACATATAGTTCTTTTACACGTCAGTATGAAACCTAGGGTTACGATTCGTTCAGAGCACCTCTTCCTATTCATTATATAAAAACATATAGTTCTTTACACGTCAGTATGAAACCTATAGGGTTACGATGTCAGTGCACCTGTTTACAGTTATGCTAAACATATGGGGTTTACGATTCGTTCAGTATATTTTTATATTTGTTTGCTTAATTATTTAGGAATATTAGTATATTTTTAATAATTTTCGACCCATTAAGTGAATTAATTTCATTAATACAAATAAAAAGTTTAAAATTAACAAAAACACCCCACCCACCCAACTTCCCAGATTTTGGCTACTGTCGACAGCAACAAACGACCGAAAATGGCCGGTAAGGCAGAAGTGACCTTTTCTGGCCAGATCCACCGTGGATGTGGCCGGAAAAGGCCACATCTTGCCGTCATGGACTTTCAATGAAATGTCCGACTTTGAGGTCAACGACGGCCAAATGTTGGCCATTGTTGACCGACAACGATGGCCATATATTTGGCTATTGCAGACGACAAGATCTGGACTTTTCCGTTTGTCTATGGCCAGTTCTGGCGGATCGTCTGGCCTTTTCGGCCACACCATGGTCGATCTGGCCGGAAAAGGCCATATAGAGGCCCTATCGGCCAGATCCACCACTGTGCATCGTAACGCCCTTTCCCGGTAAGATTTCGGCTCCGGTGGCCAGAATATGGCACCGTGGGTAGGTGGGGTGTATCCGTTAAATTTTAAAACCATTTGCACAAGAATTGCTTAAGCGATACAATGGATCGCTTAAGCGATCATGTGATTGGCAAAAGCAAATTTGCCCAGGTGCATGATGCTTAAGCGATCCGTGATATCGGTAAGCGAATCTTGCCTTTTTCCCACGGTCGATTAAGCGATCGTATCGCTTAAGTGATCATGCACCTGGGCAGAATCAATCAGTCCAGGTGCACGATCGCTTAAGCAAGCGATCTGTGTATCGCTTAAGCGATCCTGTTACGAAAACACTTTGTCGCTTA